AGGGTTTGTGGATGGGTGTGGGGGTGGATTTAGGGTTTGTGGGGGTGAGGTTTATAGCAGGGTATGGGACCTGTGCAGGGTTTTTGGGGGTGTAGGGTTTGTGGGGGTGGTTTGTAGGTATGTGGTTTATGGGTGGATTGTGGAGGGGTTTGTGGGGGTAGGGTGGGGAGTGTGTGGGATGCTGTGGGAGGGTGTGGGTGTGAGTGGGGTTTAAGGTGGGGAGTGAGTGTGTATGTGGGGGGTGGTCCTCGTAGTCCCTGGAGTGTGCTAATCTGGATCTGCATGTGGTGGCAGTGAGCAGGGCCACCTGCTCACTGTGCTCCCACCTCAGTCCCTGGCTGCAGATCATGGCAGTGTGCAGGGCAGCCCCACCCACCTCTGTAACGTGCAGCACCTGCCCAAGTCCCTGGCTGCACATGGCGGCAGTATGCGGGGTCAGCCCCACCTGGCCCCATAACATGAAGCTCCTGTGCTCCCCTCCCAGTACCCACCTGCACATGGTGGCAGAATGTGGGGCCAACCCCACCCAGCCCCATAGCACTCCCATCCAAGTCCCCGGCTGTATGTGGTGGCAGTATGCAAGGTCAGCTCCATAGCGTGCAGCTCCTGTGCTCCTGCAGCGTGTGGGGCCAGCTCAGCCTGGCTCATAGCACGCGCCTCATTAGACGGAGGTTAGAACCAAGGCCCTGTGGCTTCAGAGCAGTAGTGCTCAGCCTTTGTGCCTTCTGGTCAGATGAGTGGGGCGGGGTCAGTCCACAGGCTGGATTGAGCCCCATGCCAGAATCAGGCCCTGGGGCCTAGCACCTCCTCCTCCCACATGCTGGGATTGGCCCCCAGGGGCCTGGCATTACTCCATCCCACCCAAGAGTGCTGGGATTGGGTCCTGAGGGCTGGGCACCACTTCCTCCCACTGGGATAGGGCCCCAGGGGCTTGGCATCAACTTCTCCAGATGGGCTTGGTCCCTGAGAGCCTGGCACCACCCCCTCCGACCCCAGTACACAAAGATTAGGTTCCAGAGGCCTGATGCCACCCCTTCCCAGCCCCCCACATGCTGGGATTGAGCCCTGGGATGTGATGCCACTCCTACCTGGCCCTGTGCCCTGGGGGTGGGCGCCTGGTCCAACACACAGGGGCTGGGGTTCCTTGTGGATCCAGAAATTTGGCAGCAGGAGAGTGGTGCCACCACTGCTTTAGAAGGAGATCTCAATACAAGAACTTAATGGAGGTGAAAAATCACACTACTTTTATTAGGAATCTTATTTCGGGAATGTTTGTGTGCAAATTTCAGTCAAATATGCACCTTAATTTAATACTGCAATTCTGCTGTATAATATTTTACCCCACTAATAGGAAAGAATCTTGCTTATGTTCACTTAGGTCTGGTTTTGGACTCTGATCATGTGTTTGATAGCTCATCTCCAAAGACTATCTGAAAGTTGTTCCCAATGATTCGAATACAATGCAAGCTCCTAAGGAACCAATGAAGTGTTTATACTGTATTGCCACATCTTAACGTTTGTGCTCCCACACTGATTCTCCAAGCTGGATCTTATAAGAAGCTGTTGTTTAAGGAACACCGACTTCAAATATTCATGCCACTAAAATGAAAATTTGGTTCAAAACCATGTGTAAGGAAAATGCCAGGCTCTGTCACAGGGTGTGTCAAAATACTGTTATCAAAAAGCAAACAAACAATACCAGCTGAAGACTTGTACCAGGTTAGATGACATCAGGTAAGAGATGAAGGACTTTAGATTTATTACTTTTATAATTTACTTATAAACTATGTGTGTGGGAAGAGGACCCAGGAAAATGTTGGCATTGCAACACTTAACCCATAGATGCCCGGCCTGTGGGAGCATCAGCACTGAGTTGGACCCTCCAGGTCCCTGAGTGCAGAGGCGTCCGCCGGGGGAAGAGCCTGGGAAGGGATGCTCGGGAACCAGCTGAGCTGGGAGCCTCTTAAACAGCTTGGGACGTTTCAGACAGCAGCCCCGTAGGTCAGTATTAGCAGGCACCTATTGCAGTTGAATTGAAACCGCTCCTGTCCTTAATTCTAATACCCTGAGAACAACTTAAACAGATGACAATGCTGAGAAAAATTCTGCTGAGGGGAAAGATGGCAGCAAGTCTCACCAGCAGTGTCAATAGCGCATTCAATGACTGGAAAACCTGGTAGCCAGATCAGCCGGGCGCGGCAGGTGCGTTTTACTGGAAGTGACCTGATTTAGGACTGGGCAGAGACTGGGGCTGCTGCTCCCCCTCCCCGCCCAGCCACACACGCCCCCTGCTGGAACCCAGGGGACACTTGGAAGCGGCTGTCAGTACGTTCCCAAGCCCTACACAGCTGGGACCTAGGTCCCACATCTGGATGTGCACAGCTGGGCTGCCCCTGCCCCCCCAGCAGCCGAATTGCGCCGGGTGCAGAGCCCGCTGAGAAGGGCTCGGCGGCCACGTGGCGCGGGGGCCGCGCGCAGCCGATGACATCACAGGGGGCGGGGCCAGAAGGCTTACTCCGACACTGCGCAGGCGCAGCGCGCTCCCATGCTTGCGAAGGGAACGGGAGGGCTGAGCGGCGGAAGTGACGTGAGGGAACTGCGGTGCTTCCGGTGGGCGTGACGCGGAAGCGAGCTGCAGAGGGGCCGAGCGGGGAGGGCGGCGCGGCTGGAGCGCCCCCCGCGGCGGGCTGCGAGGAGCGCCCGGCC